CAGGAGTTGGGGTGGAGGACCGCGAGTCAGAAGGCAAACATGGGTTTACTAGCTGTGTCTTATGGGATCACATCCCTGATACTCTCTTTTAGGGAAATTGCCTTGTCTACTAGTCAGTCACCTGTCCTGCAGCCTCTGTCCTGATCCCCGTTCCTGTACGAATGATTAAATTGGGTAATCCGACCCTCCTATTTGCTCACTGTGGACCTGTGTGACCTGTCATGAAGGATGAGCTGGGTTAATCTGTTTTCTCCTGGGATCTGGGAATTAGGAAACAGATTAAAGTGATAAGCTCCAGGAGCATAGGTTGAAAGGATACATCAAGAATTGTCAAAAAAAAAAAAAAAAAAGAATTGTCAAAAATATATGAATTGCATAGTGGCCCTGAAATTTATTTTTGTGACCTGTGTAATGTTTTCTAGTATTTTTTTAAATTTTTTATTTATTTATGATAGTCACACAGAGAGAGAAAGAGGCAGAGACATAGGCAGAGGGAGAAGCAGGCTCCATGCACCAGGAGCCCGATGTGGGATTCGATTCCGGGTCTCCAGGATCGTGCCCTGGGCCAAAGGCAGGCAGGCGCCCAACCACTGTGTCACCCAGGGATCCCTGTTTTCTAGTATTTTGAAAGTGTTGCCAACATTTGAAAATTGGGGAGGATTCACATTAAAATCTAGCTGTTTGGCTTCTCTTATAAAATCTGAAGGCTTGATATGGCAAAAACATACTGGAGCTGAGCAGTACACAGAGCATACGCTTGCCCCTTCACCTTGCCTGCTCCCCCACCCCGCATACTGCTTACACCTGGCCAGCTTCATTCACTTACATCATCTGCTTGGCCCCTGTAGCTGTCTGACAACCAACTTGTTGAAGGAACCAGTAGCAATGAGGATTGTATCCAGGCCAGGCTCACAGGGGAACAGAACCCACACAGAGCAGAGTGGATACCTGGTGAGACTTGGGCAGTTGGTGAGAAAAACTGAGGATAGAGCCACTAGGGGAGGGAAACCAGTTCCCACAGGTGTGTGGGTTCTTCGGCTTCCCAGTTCCAGAAGCTACCCACAGTTTCCCTCATCAAAACGCCTGGTTCTTGACATAATTTGCAATGCACTGAGCCAGGCTAAGTCAGCGATTGAGTGGGAAACTGGTAGAGAATAGCAATGAGGACAGTAAGACAGTAGTGTAGCGAGATGGCATTAGCCGCCCCCAAAATAAGTTCTTGTATGAAGGTGGAATGTCAATTATAAGTTCTCAAGAGTTAGATTCTTGCTAAGTAACCTGGCCAAGGTGGATCAGGGAAGGGGTAGTAAACAACTTCTACTGAAGAGCATACAGTTAAAAGTATCCTCACATGGGATGTCTGTGAGCATCTGCCTTCGGCCCAGGGCATGACCCCAGGTCCGGGATTGAGTCCCACATTGGGCTCCCTGCGTGGAGCCTGCTTCTCCCTCTGCTTCTCTGTGTTTCTCATGAATAAATAAAATATCTAAAAAAAGGTATCCTCACAGAGGGGCCCCTGGCTGGCTCAGTTGGTTGAGCAGTGGACTCTTAATTTCGGCTCAGGTCATAATCTCAGAGTTGTGAGATTGAGCCCCACGATGGGCTCCGCGCTCAGCTCAGAGTCTGCTTGGGATTCTCTCTCCCTCTTGCTTGTGTGCACACCCCCCTGCCTCCCTCCGCCCCCGCCACTCACACACACTCTAAATAAATAAAATCTTAAAAAAAAAAAAAAAGTATGCTCAGAGACAATTCAAAGTGTCCTGGGAAGGATGGACTATGGGCATACAGGGTTCCAGAGGTTTTGGAGGAAGGTATTGGGAAGTCTGGGGAGAAGACACTTGTGAGATTTAAGGTTTGATCATTTATATCCCTTACTAATTCTCACTGCCTGTTGAAAAGAGACCTCTGTTATTTCAGCAAACTGAGAAGGCTTCCTGAAAGAGGTGGCATTTGAGCCGCACCTCTGAAATGAAATACATGAAAAGGAAACGTTTCATATGTAAACAGAGCCACACCCATAAAGACCAAATTCTAAAGGGGAAGCAGGCAGTTTGCAGTTAGAGTCTTTATTTGACACAGCAGCAAGGGTAACAGCAGGCAGGCAGACAGGGAGGAGCAGACTCCCCAGTGAGCTGGTGGCCTACGACGCAGAGCTCAATCCCACGATCCAGGGATCACGACCTCAGCCGAAAGCAGACGCTTAGCTGACTGAGCCACCCAGGCAACCCTACTTCTAATATTTCTTAATTTAGAACCTAACCTACAATTGGCAACCCCCGTGTGCTTGCTTTACCACAGGGCAGAAAAAATTTGACAGTGTTATCACTGACTGGATGTACATACATTTAGCTGTCCACATTAAGAAAATGTTCATTATCGACAATTAGCTTATTTGAGTTACTTTCATTGAAAGTGAATTTTACAGCTGAATTTTAATTTGAATCTCCAAGTGTCATATTAGGCCTTTTCTAAAAGGTTACATTGTGTTGAAGCATTGAAACAATATTATCTTACACACAGATTAGTTGTCATGCATTTGGAATACAATTAAATGTAGAAATGGCCAACTCTCTTTCTAAATTTGACACAGAAGGTGTAAGTCCGGAAGAGGTTGGCTTGACCAACTGAAATGTCTGAGGACACTGAAAGCTTAACTGTCAATAGTTTCCAGTTATCAAAAGAAGCTGCGCAGATTCCAGGCATATGCAATTTATTTTTTTTTTTAAAGATTTTATTTATTCATGAGAGACACAGGCAGGGGGAGAAGCAGGCTCCAGGGAGGGAGCCTGACCTGGGACTTGATCCCCAGTCTCCAAGGATCACAACCTGGGCTGAAAGCGGTGCTAACCACTGAGCCACCGGGCTGCCCAGAGGCATATGTAATTTAAAAAAGAAACCAAATTACCATATGATTTCACTCATACATTTAAGTATGTAAGTATGTTTCTTAAATTCCTTAAGAATTCCTTAAGGAATTTAAGAAACAAATAAGCAAAGAGAAAAAATAAGAGAGATAAAGAAACAGCCTCTGAATTATAGGGAACGAATTGATTGTCGGGGTGGGGGGGATGGGTTAGTGATGGGGACTAAGGGGTGCACTTGTCCTGAGGAGCACAGGGTGATATATGCAAGTGTCGATAACTATACTGTACATCCGAAACCAATATAACAGCTGTGTGTTAAGTAGAAGTATTATTATTATTTTTTAGGATTTTACTTATTTATTCATATGAGAGAGAGAGAGGCAGAGACACAGGCAGAGGGAGAAGCAGGCTCCATGCAGGGAGCCCGATGTGGGCCTCGATCCCGGGTCTCCAGGATCAGGCCCTGGGCTGAAGGCAGGCGCCAAACCGCTGAGCCACCAGGGCTGCCCTGTTAAGTAGAATTAAAACAAAAGGTTAAGAAAATTAAAAAAGGAACCCAGTTTAAAACCAAGGAAGAAACATATATACTGCTTGTATAGTCTTAGAAACGTCTCAAAACGATACTATTCCTTTCCTTTTTTCTTTTTTCCTTTTATTTTTATACTGTTAATTTCTAATGGTGCAAAAGGAGATCAAGATGCAACCTCTGGTTATGTAAACCATCATCCCATCATGCTACACGGTTATGTAAGACTTGAGGCAGTGGAAGTGAGGAGGCTTACTTACATTCATTCATTCATTATTTATTTATTTTAAAATTTATTTATTCATGAGAGACACAGAGAGAGAGAGAGAGAGAGAGAGAGAGAGAGAGAGAGAGAGAGAGAGAGGGGCAGAGATCCAGGCAGAGGGAGAAGCAGGCTCCACGCAGGGCCCCGAGGCGGGGCTCCATCCTGGGTCTCCAGGGTCACGCCCCGGGCTGCAGGCGGCGCTAACCGCTGGGCCACCGGGCGTCCCCAGGAGGCTTACACCTAAACTTTGACCACAGCACTGAAGAGAGCGGTACCGGGATGCTGGCAGCCCCCGCTCCCTGCGTGGCTTCTCCGTGGCCTCGTGTCCTTGGACTTCTTAGTTCGGCTTCGGGGCAACTGCATCCCATCAGCGCTTTCACTTCCCTTTACAGCCACAACAGACGTTCCTATCTCTTTGCCTTCAGGCTCTCGCTCGCAGCCACTCTGCTGCCGTTGCGTTTTATGGACATTCTTTAGCTTGCGCTACATTTAAGTGTAATGTTTGTTTTTTTAAAAAATATTTTATTTATTTACTCATGAGAGACACACACAGAGACAGAGAGAGAGAGAGAGAGGCAGAGACGCAGGCAGAGGGAGACGCAGGTTCGATGCGGGACTCGAACCCGCGACCCGGGGTCACGCCCCGGGCTCCAGGCGGCGCTAACCGCTGAGCCACCGGGCTGCGCAGGTATAATGTGTTCATCGTGGTTTCTTTTTCTTTTCTTTTTTTTTTTCTTTTCTTCCTTTTCTCCGGCGGCCAGTGGCGTCTAAGGCTGGGTTAGACGCCGCGCAGCCTGCAGGGCTCCGGGGGCGAGTGTGCAGGGGGGCGGCGCGGCCCACGGGGCAGGGAGCCCGGCCGTCCGACCCGCCGCCTGCGAGCCGGGGAAAGCCCCGGAGGTCTCGGGGCTGCCCCCCCCCCCGCCCCGCGCGGCGCCTCTCCTACCTGCCGGGACCCTCCCGAGCGAGGCCCGCTCCGCCGGCCGCTCCAACCGGCTCCGCGTTCCCCTGCGCGGCAGACGCCGTCGACGAGCCGCCACGAGCGCCCCCATCCCGCCGCCTCCCCGCCGCTCCCGGCGTGCCCCGCGGCCCCACGCGCTGGCAGCTCGGCGGGGCGGGGCCTCCGAGGGAAGCGCCGCGCTCGGCCACGTGACTTCCTTCCGGGAGAGCCTCCGCGGGCCTCCCAGCCACCGGCGCGGCCCGCCCCACCACGCCTGCGCGGCGCGGTTGGCCCTCCAGTCGCTCCCGGCGAGGGGGCGGGGCGCGCCCACGACCGCGCCGCTCATTGGCTCGAGCTGCCGTCGCTCGGTTGCGTTGCCGCGGCGCCCGCGGGGGCGGGGCCGCCGGAAGCCCCGCCCCCCGGCCGCCGGGCCCGTGGCTGGCTGGCGGAGGCTGTCACTCCCGGGCGGCTTCCCTGCGGCCGGCGCTCGGTTGGGGGCGGGAGGAGGAGGGGCCGGCTTGGGGTCCGACCAGCCGCAGCCGCCGCCGCCGCCGCCGCCGCCGCCGCCGCCGCCGCCGCCTGCGCGGGGCTATGAGCAGCGGGCGACGCGCCCTCCGCCGCTCCGCGCAGCGCTAGTCGCCGCCCGGGTGCCCAGCGCCGCGGCCCGCGGCCCCCTCGGCTCCCCCAGCGCGGCCGGCGACGCGAGGCGGGGGCAGGATGAGGATGGCGGTGGACTTCGAGGAGTGCCTCAAGGACTCGCCCCGCTTCAGGTACCGGCGGCCTGCCAGGCCCCGAGCCCCAGCGCGCTTCCTCCGCCGCCGCGGCCCTGCCTGCGCTCCGCCCCCGGCCCCGCCGACGAGGCCCGGCGCCACCCCCCCCGCCGCCGTCCAGCGCCCGGCCGCCCGGCGGGTCTGCGGGGGGCGGAAGTGGGAGCGCCCTCTCTCCTCCCGCGGCGGGCGGCGGCGGCGGCGGCGGCGGCGGCGGCGGCCCGGGGCTCCGGCAGCCCGGCCCCTCGGCTCCGTCCCGGCTGGGCTCCGTCCTCGGCTCCGTCCTCGGCCCGGGGCTCGGTCCTCGGCTCGGGCTCCGTCCTCGGCTCCGGGGCTCGGGCTCCGTCCTTGGCTCCGTCCTCGGCTCCGGGGCTCCATCCTCGGCTCCGTCCTCGGGCTGGGCTCCGTCCTCGGGTCCGTCCTCGGCTCCGGGGCTCGGTCCTCCGGCTGGGCTGGGTTCAGTCCTCGGCTCGGGCTCCGTCCTCGGCTCCATCCTTGGCTCCGTTTTCGGCCCGGGACTCCATCCTCGGCTCCGTCCTCGGCTCCGGGGCTCCGTCCTCGGGTCCGTCCTCGGCCCAGGCTGTGTCCTCCGTCCACCGGCTGGGCTCCGTCCTCGGCCCCGGGGCTCCATCCTCGGCTCCATCCTCGGCTGCATCCTCGGGCCGGGCTCCGTCGGCCGAGCCGAGCGGCAGCCCTGGGCGTCCCGAGCCCGTGCACCTCCGCCTCCGGTCCGCGCTCCTCGGGGCTCCAGAGCGGTTTCCAGGGGACCCCTTTGCCGGGTTCTATCTCCCGGAGCGTTCGTACGGCTGCCCTCGGGCCGCTCAAGAGTAAGGGAGGCCTTGGGACGTGCGTTAGCCGGGGAGCCCCCGGGTACCAGCCTGCCCAGCTGCAGGCCGAGCAGCGCTCGGGGATGCTTGCCTGCATCCTTCTGGGAACTAGCTGTGCGCATCCTTTTTTTTTTTTTTTTGTAAAGATTTTATTTATTTGTTAGAGACAGAGAGAGAGAGAGAGAGAGAGAGGCAGAGACCCAGGCTGAGGGAGCAGCAGGCTCCACGCAGGGAGCCCGACGTGGGACTCGATCCCATGACCCCGGGGTCACGCCCTGGGCTGCAGGCGGCGCTAACCGCTGGGCCACCCGGGCCGCTCCATGTTCTCATTCTTACCACGGATTTCCCCGTTCCCTTTACAGTGAAACGCAAAGAATTGGTAAAACCGAGGAACTCCTACTTCTAAGAACATTTTGTTTTGTTTTGCCTTTTTTTTTTTTTTTTTTGGAGGAGGGTGCTAATTTTATTCGCAGCTTAGAGCTGTTGTTTGTAAAAAGCTGCATCTGGTTTGATCGTGGTTGTTGGCATTCGTTTTTTTGACAGTTTTATGGTCCAAGTGAATTAAAAGGACCCAGAGGGGACACGCATGGATTGCCTAGGACAGCTTCTCAGGTTGGAGTGCAGACTGTGGCAGATGAAGTGATTTTTAAAGTATACCTCAGAAAACCCTGCTTTTCGTGAATTTTTGTTTAGATGACTTGGCTTTTTTTTTTTTTTTTTTAATGAAGCAGCACAGCATTTTTCCTCTGGAGAATGTGGATTTATACTCAATTTGTTTCACATATTAAGTTTGATTTAAAAAAAAACAAGTTGAGAGAAGGGATATGGAAATACTTGTGGCCGCTGATGTTCAGAAACTTGTGATGTCTTTGTTTTTGAAATAAAGGAATAATTGAATATAAAATAAGAGGGAAAGATACTGATTAGATGGTATGGAATATTATGGTGAACTTTGTTAAACTTGAGTATATTCTATTTTAATTCAGTATTAGAGATTTTTCAAGCGTTGCTTCTGGTATTCCAGTTATTGTTGGCTGCACATTGGGATGAGAAGTCAAGCTTGAAGGAACTCCAGTATCTGGTATACGTTTTTTTTAAAGCTGCATTAGATTTGCAATAGAAGAGGGGCCTCCCGGGTGACTAGATCAGTTAAGCATCTTCCTTTGGCTTGGTCTTGATCTCAGGGTCCTGGGATCTCGTCCTGAGTCTGACTCTGCTCAGCAGGGAGCCTGCTTCTCCCTCTCTCTTTCCCTCTCTCTGCCTTCTGCTCTGCCTGCTTGTGCTGTTTCTCTTATTCTCTGTCAAATAAATAAATAAAATCTTAAAAGATTTGCAATGGAAGTATGCCAAGAAATAAAAGTCTCATCGTTCACATTCCTAATTTTTCTAGTCTCTATGTAAGTATGTATAGCATTTGAAAATAATGTTTTAGAATTCTTTTATCCATATGCTTCATGTGTAAGAGAAATTTGACTTTTAAGAGTATCTGCATGTTGTGAGTGATATGTTGAAACTTTCATATTAGAATAGAAGATTTGTGAGGGGTGAGCTTGTTAGTGGTTTTGGTTTTGGTTTTTAAAAAAATCTTAGATTTTATTTAAGAGAGAGTGTGGGAAAGCATGAGCAGGGGCAGGGACGGGGTGGGGGGAGCAGAGGCAGAGGGAAAAGAGACTCCCTGCTGAGCAGAGAGGCTGCCTGGGGTCTCCATCCCAGCACCGCGAGGTCACGATGTGAGCCGAAGGCAGACACTTAACTGACTGAGCCACCCTGGCGCCCTGTTTATGCTTTTTGATTGCAAGGCAGCTGCACCATTTATTCCTTGTGGGGTTCTGATCTGTTGTGCTGTTTTTAAACTAATTCTTACTTTTATTTCCCTTCATACACAAATCTTCTGGCATTTAAGTCTGGCATGTGGACATGCCTTAGGTGTTGTAGAATTGATGCAGAAGGCAGATCTTGCTGAAGAAAAATTTCACCAGTGTTCAAGTTTTAATCATTAATTGTCCTGCTAGGTTGATAAGGAAAATTGGAGGGGAGATTGATGAAATAGGGGGAGAAGGATGTTGCTATTGCAGCATTGTCTGTAGTAATTTGAATAAAGCCAGTGGTTACGTTTACATTCCTATGAACATTTTTTTGTTTGTTTTGTTTTTAGATTGGAAGGCACATTGCATTGTGTAATTTTGTGCATCCAGATTTAGTTTTAAAAACCAGTCTAAAGGTCAACATCTTGTTCATCTAAAAATCTACCAGAAAGTACATGTGCCTAAGTATACTTTTTTTAAGTGGGAATTTTCCAATTTGATCAACATTTGTTTGAACAAGTTTGAATTTGTTTGGACCCTAAATTGTATATGCAGTTGGTCTTTAAAATTTTATAAAATTTTAATAAAATTGTGCTTTTATTTAAACGTGGTTCACACAGGAAGTGAATATTTTCTTTTTAAAGTTTTTATTTATTTATTCATGAGAGATGCAGAGAGAGAGGCAGAGACACAGGCAGAGGGAGAAGTAGGCTCCCTGTGGGGAGCCTGATGTGGGACTCTTTCCCTGGTCTCTAGGATCACTAAACCGCTGAGCCACCCAGGGATCCCCGAATATTTTGTTTGAAACCAAAAGCTGAATTAATTTGTGCTTTCTGAATTGTAAAACATTTTTGCTCTAACGAGTGTTCAAATATAAGAATACTGGCATTTATAAGTCTTCAAAACTTTAGTTTTTACCTGACGCACATTTATGTTTTATCCTTAACACTGTTTATTGTGTGTCATTCTGAAAGTTTTTTCATTTGTAGATTCTGTTTCAGATATGGTCTTTATTGGAGAACTTAGGAAAAAAATCTTAAAAAGGTTTTTTGGGGAGAAAGGTTTTAATGGGTGAAAGACTTTGATATAATATTTATCTATGTAGGTTATGTTTTGCTCTTAAATCGCAAATTTACCTTCCATCTTTAGAACAGATAGACTTAACAACTGATGCTTTATGCATGGCAAACATAGAGGACGAGGAATGTGGGGAAACATCCTTTCATTTCTCGAGTGGTAGAATGAAATTATTAAGTAGATCTATTGTGAACTGAAATACAGGTATCCTGCTATTCCTCATTGCAGCTTGTAATTCCTCATTTAGTGTAATACCAACTTAAGTTGAAATAAGGAAGAACAAGCTGCTATAATATGGCAGACAGATTTCATACTAGATGCTTTCATGGCTATTCTCTAATTTAATATTAAAATGTACTGTGAAGTAGGAATTATCTTCATTTTTAAAATTCAAAAAAGAAATCCCAAACTTGATATCTTGAGAAGTTAAAATTAACTTTTTTAATGGTGGACTTTCAAATGGTTGACCTGGTGAATTCACTCTTTTTATGCTGTCTCTCAAGCCACAGAGTTTAGTTGTGTTAATTAAGTTTGCATTAAGTTGGTTTATGGTGTTTTTTTTTTTATCATACAGAAATTTAAAAACTGGTTTTAGGGTATTGCCTAGAAAAGTCTCCCCATCCCGTTATTATTTATAGAATATTTTTCTATCATTTCATAGTAATTTTTAGTTTCATGTAATAAAACTGGATTTTAGTTTTGAGAGAGAGTTCAATTTTATTTTCTTCCTAATAGAAGTCATTTGTCCTAACACCTTTTATTGAATAGTTAATATTATTTATACACACACACAAACACACACCTTTGTATATTTTTCTGGGTTCTACTCTTTTTTTATTTTTTTTAATTTTTATTTATTTATGATAGTCACAGAGAGAGAGAGAGAGAGAGAGAGAGAGGCGCAGAGACATAGGCAGAGGGAGAAGCAGGCTCCACGCACCGGGAGCCCGACGTGGGACTCGATCCCGGGTCTCCAGGATCGCGCCCTGGGCCAAAGGCAGGCGCCAAACTGCTGCGCCACCCAGGGATCCCATGGGTTCTACTCTTTTTCACTAATATGTTTGTCTATTTGTCAACTACCATTAATATTTTAGTTACAATACTTTTCATAACTAGTCTGTTGTAATATCTGGTGGGACAAATTTTTCCTTGTCCCCTCCCTCCCAATTTAATGGCTATTCTTGAATATTTTGTTTTTGTAGTACTTTCTTCAATTTCAGAAAAGGGTATGCCATTCTGGTGTATTTTGCCCTTCTTTCTTTTTTTTTTTTTTAAGATTTTATTTATTTATTCA